AATGGGATGTGGTGGTTCAAGACTCACTTCTTTTGGGCTTTGTCCTTCTTGGTCTTGGTTCTTTTCTTTTGGGCTTGGAGCCCAAGCACTGAAGAAAAGAAGGATAGATAAAGGCTGAATGTGGAAAAAGAGGCCCGAGACCATAGGCTCAGCTGCAGGGCTGACTGAGGGGCGGCTCCAGGACGAATGCCACAGCTTTGGCAAAGCAGCTGGTCAGGAGGAGAATGTTCCAAGGGTGCTGAGTAGTGCCTCACCATCTCTCTATGAGGACACGCCACCCAGGTGCTACCTTCACCAGCAGACTCTGGGTGACATCTGTAGATGTGACTGCAACCTCTAACATTCTGGGCCAAGAACTAACCCTGTGCCCCTCTGGGTACCAGGCTTGCTAGGAGTATAATATTGCCAATGCCATAGATCAAAGGCAAAAACCTGGTGAGGCAGGGTGCACCAGAGGGGACTTGGGCTGGGGCAGGGGACCAGGAGGCAGGGATCTGCCTCTCCTGCACTGGCTCCAAGAGACGGATGGACCTGGCCAGGAATTAAGGGGCAAGGAAGGACACTGGGGCAGAGGGGCAAGGACTTGCAGCCCTGAAGCGGATGTTGGAGGGCAGTGCCACCTATGTGGAGGGGTGCAGCACTGCAGGGTTCCAGACTGACTGATGTGATTCAGAGAAGCTCCCAGTGCTAAGCGGCTTGTCCTAGTGCCTTCACTGAGCTTTGATGGCCAATTAAGATACTATATAAGGAAAATGAGGAAAGAAGTGAGAAAGTAAAGAAAAGGTCATCAGCAGAAAAGAAAGACTGGAAGGAACCTATAAACCCATTGTCACTTAAATAGGGAAAATAGTCAATAGTGTTATAATGATGGTATGATGCCAGGTGTGTACTGGAAATATCAGGGAACACTTTGTAAAGTATATGATTGTTTAACAACTATTATGTAACTAATATAAAACCTGAAACCAATACAAAATAATATTGAATGTAAAGAAATGAAAATTGGAGTGAAATTTTTATAATTTTCAAAGTTTAAATACAAGCTGTAAAGGAAGAAAGGGGGAGAATAAAAATAGTTTTTAATTTTACCACTTTATTGTTTTTTCAGTACATAAAAAAGACAGTTGTATTTATATGGTGATTTTATACTTTTCTAAGTCATTATCTCATTTTAATTTCAGGGCAACTTAAAGACAAGATAATTATTCCCTCCATTATTCAAAGAAAGGAAATCTTGGTGTCTGTTCCCATTGATTTAATGTCAAGCATTTATTGTAAAGCAAGGTTAGTAAAATTTTCTGTGAAGGGTCATATCTATACTAATAAAAGCCATGGGGATGATCAGGCCAGCAGGGGAAGGTAGTTGGGGGCAATCAGGATGGCAGTTTCCTTAAAAAATTAAAAATAGAACTCCCATTTGACCCAGCAATCCAACTTTTAGGAATATATCCCAAGAAATCAGAAACATCAATCAGAAAGGATATATGCACTCCTGTGTTCATAGCAGCACAATTTACAATAGTTAATATAATATTTGGAGACAGTCTAAGTGCCCATCAGCTGATAAATGGATCAAAAAAAAAATGTGGCACATCTACACAATGGAATATTATACTGCTGTAAAAAAGAAGGACTCTTATCATTTGCAACAGCATGAATGGACCTGGAGAGCATCCAACCTCAGAGGAAGGTAGGGTGTGGGTGGGGAGGTGTGGGAGTGAGAGATCAACCAAAGGACTTGTATGCATGTATATAAGCCTAATGCATGGAGATGGACAGTAGGAGGGTGAGGGCATGTGCTAGGGGATTAGGAACAACTGGGGAGAGTTCAATGGGGAAAAAGGAGACATATGTAATACTTTAAATAAAGAATTAAATAAAAAAAATCTTACCTAATAAAGAGGGAATATGAAAATTGGCCATCACACTTTCACAGTGGAGGCAGAGTTTCCATAACACAAGATGGGTGTGCCCACAGTGAAGGCTGAGTTCCCTTAATGAGCCTTAAGGAGAAATCAGCTGGGATCCAAGGCTGCGTGGTGCTGACCCAAGGGAGGGGACTTGAGGCTGTGCCCCCTGCCAAGTGGGGCTTGATGGCAGATCTCAGGCCATGCTTCCCACCTGGAGGGGCTTGATGGGGGACCTAAAAGTGTGCTCCCCACCCCAGCTCAGCCTGGGGCACCTCAGGCTGCAACTGTCTCCCCAGTCCTGGGCTGGGGGACCTCAAGCCATGGCCCCTGCCCCTGTGCCAGGCCGGGGAACCTGAGGGTGTGCCAGATATCTGAGACTGCACTCCCACCTGGTGGGGCTTTACAGGGGAAGGGACAGCTGGGTCTGGATCTTGCCCAAAGTGGGTGAAGCCAACCAGGTCTGGGTCTTGTGTGATTCTGAGGCACGTGCGGGTGGGTGGAGACTTGACTCCAGGTCCCGCAACATGCCCTAGACTCTGACAGGAGGAAGATTTCCATATACAATTTACTAATTTTCTTTCACCTCTGACATTTATATTATAGAGAAAGGGCAAAAAGCAATATTAAAATATTTTCTCTAATTAATTCCGTTTTAATGTGCACAAATTTTGTGCACTGGGCCACTAGTAAATAAATAATAACTCAAAGTGAGTTCTCTCACTGTGATAAGCAGCAGAAGAATCAAATAATTATTAACTAAATTCTGTTTTATAATACAATTAATTGCTTTAATTTAATTTAGGAAAGAAAAATCCCTAGTAGCTGTTAAGTGATAGAGGAAAAATATTTCTGGGATTACCATATTTTTCCTTTTGCAATGGTGGGTTTTTCCCAAATAATTGTATTTTGACATATTTTATTTGATACTTTAACTGACATGATTTTTTTATTGTATTATTCACAAAATACAGAAAAATAAAATAAAATATTACCTAAGCTATCTTTTATTATAAAAGTTCTGCATAACAGTTGTGACCAATTATCTTCCATAGAGGCAAATAGATTTGTTTTAATTTTCTAATATAAATATTGTTTTACATAATAAAATTCCAATTAAAATCACTTGGATAATTAACTCTGGAATGATTGATTGCTATTATACAATCTACTTTCTGTTTTAAATATAAAATTGTGCTTTAAGCCATTAGAAGATTCTACATATTAATATAAATCTATCTTGAAGTTCTTTTTAGAACCTTGGTTAAAGTAATCTTTACATTAGAAATTAAAAGTGGCCTATATTCTGCCGAAACCAGTTTGGCTCAATGGATAGAGCGTCAGCTTGGGGACTGAAAGGTCCCGGGTTCGATTCCGGTCAAGGGCATGTACCTTGGTTGCAGGCATATTCCCAGTAGGGGGTGTGCAAGAGGCAGCTGATCGATGATTCTCTCTCATCGATGTTTCTAACTCTCTCTCCCTTCCTCTCTGTACAAAATCAATAAAATATATATATTTTTAAAAAGTGGCCTATATTCCTAAAATTTTAAATATACTTATTACATTAAGTAGCATGACTATAATTATAATATACTTACAATTATTATAAAACTTTATTATTTAAAAAATATATTTTATTGATTTTTTTTTTTTGCAGAGGAAGTCAGAGGGAGAGAGAGTTAGAAACATCTATGAGAGAGAAACATCAATCATCTGCCTCCTGCACACCCCCTACTAGGAATGTGGCCTCAAACAAGGTACATGCCCTTGATTGTAATAGAACCTGAGATCCTTGAGTCCACAGACTGATATTCTATTCACTGAGCCAAACTGGTTGGGGCAAAACTTTATTTTTTTTAAATATATTTTTATTGGTTTCAGAGAGGAAGAGAGAGGGAGATAGAAATATCAAAGATGAGAGAATGTTGGATTGTCTGCCTCTTGCACTGTGCCCTACTAGGAATAGAGCCCACAATCCAGGCATGTGCCCTAACCAAGCATTAAACCATGACCTTCTAGATCATAGGTCAAAGCTCAACCAGTGGCTCACTCCAGCTGGGCTATAAAACTTTAGTTTGAACAATAAAAATCTACCTCTTCTCTAGCAGAGAAGAGGGCAGAAAGAAGGGCGGGTATCAGTTCCACATTGGGGTGGGGCTGGACATGGTAACAGCTCAGAAGTCGAGGGGGCTGGTGCAGAGGGGGGGAAACCGGTGTCCACTGCTGCCCCTCCTGCCTTCTCCACTGCCCCCACCACAGCCTTAAAGATCCATGGCTTCCAGAGCAGCCACCGGAACTTTGGGACCTGGAAGCTAACTATGACCAAGACCCACATCATGAAATCCCCTGGACATGGAGAAGTTAGCTAATGAATTGCATATGCCAACATCTCTGAAATTATGTTTGAAGACAACATTTTAAGAATTCAGCATGATTCTGGATTTTGGATTGAGTTCAATGCTATAGATACATTAAGATGTGTGGACAACTACCAAGGAATGCTTCAAGTAGCCTGTGCAGAGGAGTGGCAGGAAAGCAGGATGGAGGGTGAGCACTCCAAGGAAGTTATTAAACCATATGGTTGGACCTTTACAACAGATTTTAAGGGAACATTACTTGGAGAATACCTCAAGGTAAAGGTTGCGCCTACAACAGATCATATAGATACAGAGAAATTGAAAGCCAGAGAGAGGATTAAGTATTTTTAAGAAGTTCTCCTGTTTGAGGATGAACTTCATGATCATGGAGTTTCAAGCCTAAGTGTGAAAATAGAGTTAATGCCTTCCAGATTTTTCCTGTTGATGCATTTTTTCTTGAGAATTGATGGAATGCTTATCAGAATGAATGACACGAGACTTGACCACGAGGGAGCAGAATTGCTTATTCATGCCCCACATTCCCTCTTCAGGGAACCTAATAAAATGTCACAGTATTTACCGATCAAGCAAGCAGTCTGTGAGAAGCTAATATTTCCAGAAAGAATTGATCAGAATCCTGCAGACTCACAAGCAAATGTGCCTGTGACACACCAGATAATCAGTGGAATCCAATGGAGACCTTGGCTATGTAGATGTAGTATTATTGTTATTATTATTATGAGAATTAATTATCTTGTCTATTTGAAGATTTTCTGTAGACTTTAAAGGGAGAAAAAAGATTGTTGCACAAGCATATTCCACTCAACTGCTGTTTGTACTGTCTATCTTCAAGTTCATAGTCCAGATTCATTTCCTGGAGTTAACTTCACATTTCTAACTTGTCACAGTGAGATGTCATCAGTAGTGATGTGTATATGTCTCATTAGTAGTGGGTATAATCTTTATCTGTTAGGAAACATTGTCTTCCCCTATGAGGTGGTTGCTCTAAATCCCTGAATCACAGTACTGCCACTCAGGGCTGCTGTCTGCATGTTGTCAGCCTTGCACCGTGGGCTTTGTGGCATTTTTTCCCACTGCTACATAGTCATGACTTGCCTCCCAGGAAATTGACCTCATACTTTAATGATCTTCACCCCAAAATTAAACAAATATACATTTCCTCTCTAAATTTAAATTTATTATTGAAATTTAAAGATAATTTCAGACATAGAACCAAATAACATAGTCTTTTGGAGAATGTTAGCTATTAAGCCCATGGAAACATATGAGCCTGGTTTGGAATTAATAACAAAACACAGAGCTGTCTTTTTCCATCTTCAGGTGCTATATCCTATGTGCTTCTGCTAGTACTGACATTTTCACTTTCATCTTCCATGCAACCTCAGAGTGGGTAAATAGATTAAATGTTGAAGTTGGTATTAATCCTAAAATTTAAAGAATCCATATGGATTGTGGTTTGGTTCACACATATTACATCAACCCCTAACAACCAGATTAATTTTCTGCTTAAAATATTTGAGAGGTAGTTGTGGTGGAGGAGGATAATTTTCAAGTTCAAAGCCAATTTTTCTATTTAAGATTCATGTTGTTAACATTACAGAGAATCCGGTAAAGTGTAATTAGTACAAGACCTGGGTTGTTCAGAAAGTACTCAAAAGTACATTTGAAGTCCATTTGGCTATTTTGATGATGACCTTATAAACATTGTATATTTGGTTCTGCCTTTCTAAATGATCTTCCTAAAGTAGAAAGTGGTTATAAAGCACCAAATAAGGAATTACTTAAAATTGATTTTTAAAATGACTTTTTTACAGGCATGGGAAAAATATCACCCCTGTTTTTCCTGGTTTGAAATAACTGTTGTACATATTTCTGCTTGATGAGTAAATCATAAAATAAGAATATTTAAATAAAAGCATTAACAAAGCTTTTCAGGTATTATTAGCCTGATGATCAGTTTTAGTAAACAATACAATTAGATATTCATTCATTGGTTGAACTCTGATGAACTCTTGTGTTTATTGTTGTTTCGCTAATAATATTACCTAATTTTGGTTTCAAATGGTTTTGGTATTTGTTTGCATCTGTTGTATCACCTGTGACATAGAAAATCAAGATTTTGTTGACTTTTCAAAACACATGGCATGTTTACTGTATATTTAATATGCCTGCATTTAATGTTTTTTCTTAGGCTAAGAAAGTAAACATGTTGTACTTAGCTTTCTGTGTTATTTTATTTGCCAGGAAGATTTGAATATAACAGGCTCTTTTTTCATATAAATTGTGAGAAATGAAAAACCTGTAAGAATATTCACTAGTCAAAATTTCTGAGCAGTGTCATATATATCTTTTAAAGCTTGATTCAGATGTCTTGCTCCTTGAATCAGTCTTAGATTGCTTATTTTTGCCTCATTGTTAAACATTGCAGGGAATTAAAATAAATGACATTATTTTATATAAATGAGTGGTGCATAGGAAAATGTACTTCTGAAAATTCATTAATTTATTCCTGCAGAGAATACCAAGAAAACCTATATTTTCCCATATTATATTATAAAGTGGTGATATGCAAATTAACCCTCACACCATCACAAGATGGCTTCCTCTGACCAGGCTGGAAGGGTGTTAGTGAGGGATGACCAAATGACTAAACAGCAGGCTGCATGGGGCGACCAGCTTGGCATGGTGGGGGGGGGGCATGAAGGGTTATAAGTCTGGCAGAGAAGAAGTTGGGGGCAACCAGGTAGCAAGGGGGGATAATTTGGGGTGATCAATCTGGAAGAGGGGGGAATTTGGGAGCAACCAGGCTGGTAGGGGGGCAGTTAGGAGCAACCAGGCTGGTAAAGGGAGGCAGTTGTGGGTGTTAGGCTGATAGGAGGGGGCAGTGAGGTGTGACTAGACTGGCTGGGGGGCAGTTAGTAGAAACCAGGCTGGCAGGGAGGGGGCAGTTGAGGGCAACATGGCTGGCAGCAGGGGGCAATTAGAGAAAACCCGGGTTGAGGGGAGGAGAAGACAGTTGGAGGTGATCAGGCCAACATGCAGAGGCAGTGAGGGGTGATCAGGCAGGTAGGCAGGTGAGCAATTAGGATCCAGCAGTCCAGAATTGTGAGAGGGATGTCCAACTGCCAATTTAGGCCCTCATCCCTAAACTGGCAGTTGGACATCCCCCGAGAGGTCCCTGATTGGAGAAGGTGCAGGCTGGGCTGAGGGGACCTCCCCCATGCATGAATTTCATGCACTGGGCCTCTAGTATCTAAATAAGACATGAGACAAATGAAAATAGTATGGTGTATTTAAGTAAGAGGAGAATAAACAATAAGGAATTATTGATCCATTTTGCTATTTCATTTATTTAAGATTTTCTTAAAGCTTAATTTAAAAATGGTTTGGTACCAAAAAAGTACCTAAGAATAAATGCAGAAAAGTGTGTCAAATGTCTTTTATTAAAATTTTATTTTTAATTGATTTTAGAGGAGGAAGAGGAAGAGCAAGAAACATACATGTGTGAGAGATAGGCATCAAGTGGTTGTCTCCCTTAGGGTCCCAATCAGGGTTTGAATCTACAATCTAGGTATCTACCTGTCAAGGGCAAGCTTCTCAGCCAGGGACTTGACCCTTCTAGGTGCTGGGAACTAAGAGAACAAGCAGGAAAATGGAATATGCTTTATTACAAACAAAGCAGCCAGCAACAGGCTGGTTAGTAGCAATATATATACAAGCTCTAAAGAAGCACAAACCAAATAAGCTTTGTGCCAAATAAAGAAAGGAACTACTGCCCAGTATATAGCTTGCTGCATCCTTGCTTTTGCACCTGTGTTTTTCAATTTAGTATTGAACACCCTAATTGGGATTCCCATGCTCAGAGTGCCTTGAACATTCAGTACACTCTAGATAGGGTCCCCTCAATACTATGACCAGGAATCAAATCCACAACCTACTGGTTCATGGGACAACATTCCAACCAATTGAGCAACACTATCCAGGGCTACTAAGATTCTTTTAAGGTTGTATCCAGAGCCTGTCCCTCACAGTGTTTCATCTGCCATCTTCCAACAATACACTTTATTACCCGGGACCACAGTTGCAGACCCACAGACATCAAGACTCCAGGCACCCCAGCTGCAGATTTTTGTGAGTCACAGAGCCAATTACCCTCCCCACCAGCCTGTGGCAGGGGCATAGGAACTGCCAGACCCTTTTCACACAAACAGGCCTCCTGCCCACACATAGACAGAACAGCAGCAGCTCTACGTGAATTTGAGCCTGAGTGCACAGACACGGGAAGTTTGCTTCCTGCGACCAGATCCCACACCCACACAGGGAGGCTGTACTGAATCTGAGCTTGGGTGCATGAACTGAGGGAGTCTGTTTCTTGCAACCAGACCCCACACCCACACAGGGTAACAGTGCCATCTGACTTTGATTCAGGGCAAGCACACATGGAAGGCTGTTTTCTACAGGGCAGACATGGAATTCCTGCCAACACAGTGTGACTGTGCAACCTAGTCTCCCAAGCAGACCAGGGACCCTGATTCACCACACTGGAGGCAGCACTGAGCATAAGTGACTTGACTCTGTTTCTCATCATGCACCTGGGATCCCTGATTTCCAGTGCATTCACACTTAGAACTAGTGATTCTAATTCTTGGTGCATGTGCTCACAGGGACACTGAAGAGCTCTGACACCAAGACATGTGGCTCCATGGGTTGGTGAAAACCACGCTCCTTCAGGATCAGAGTCCTTGGAGCTTAGAGTGGCCCCGTGTGCACTCCTAGAATCAGGACCCCACCTGCTCTGCAATGAAACAGAGACCCTACTGGTATGTGCCAAGAATCTGAATCTCCTAGTGCATGTCAGGTCTCAGAGACCTCCTGTGCCTGTCTTGAGAATCAAGTATCAGAGTCTCTGTTGCTTGGTGAAAATTGCATGCAGCAGTACATCAGAAAGATCATATACCATGACAAAGAATGCAAGGATGGTACAATATCCATGAATCAATAAATGTGATACATCACATAAACAAATTGAGAGATAAAAAGCACATAGTCATATCAATTGATGCAGGAAAAGCACTTGACAAAATCCAACACCCCTTCTTGATAAAAACTCTCAGCAAGGTGGGAATAGAAGGATCATACCTCAACATAATAAAAGCCATGTATGATAAAACCACAGCTAACATCATACTCAATGTGGAAAAACTAAAATAAGTTCCCCTAAGAGCAAGAACAAGACAGGGATGCCCACTCTCACCACTTCTGTTTGACATAGTATTGGAAGTATTAGCCATTGCAATTAGACAAGAAGAAGAAATAATAGACATCCAAATTGAAAAAGAAGAAGTAAAGCTGTCCTTATTTGTAGATGACATGATATTGTATATAAAAAAACACACAAAATACTCCATCAAAAAAATAAACTATTAGACTTAATAAGTGAATTTGGCAATATAGCAGGATACAAAATTAATACCAAGAAACCTATGGCATTTCTATACACCAATAGTGAACTTACAGAAAGAGAGACTAAAAAAGCAATCCCATTTACCATCACACCAAAAAAATTAAGATACCTAGGAATAAACTTATCTAAGGAGGTAAAATAACTATATGTGAAAAACTATAGGACACTGGAAAAAGAGATAGAGGAAGACATAAACAGAGGGAAGAACATACCATATTCATAGATTGGTAGAATAAACATCATTAAAATGTCCATACTACCCAAAGCAATCCATAGATTCAATGCACTGCCCATTAAAACACCAACAGCATATTTCACAGACCTAGAAAAACTCTCCAAAATTAATCTGGAATAAAAAAGACCTCCAATAGCCACAACAATCCAGAGAAAGAAAAACAAAGTAGGTGGGTTCTCAATACCAGATTTCAAAATGTATTACAAAGCCACTCTACTCAAAACAGACTGTTACTGACACAAAAACAGATATATAAACCAATGGAATAGAATAGAGAATCCAAATATCAACCCAAACCACTATGCTCAATTAATATTTGACAAAGGAGGCATGAACATACAATAGTGTCAAGACAGTCTCTTCAATAAATGTTGTTGGGAAAATTAGACATATACATGCAAAAAAAAATGATACTAGACCACCTACTTACACGATATACAAAAATAAACTCAAAATATTTACAGGACTTAGACATAAGACAAGAAACCATAAAAATTCTATGGGAATCCACAGGCAGAGAAATCTTAGACATATGCTGAAGCAATTTCTACATTGATACTGATCATAGGCAATGGAAACTAAAGAGAAAATAAACAAATGGGACTACATAAAAATAAAAAGCTTTTTCACAGCAAAAGAAATCATCCACAAAATGACAAGAAAGCCCACTTATGGGTGAACATATTTGCAAATGTTATCATTGATAAAGATTTAATCTCCAACATCTACAGGGAACTTATACAACTTAATAAAAGGAAGATAAATGATCCAGTAAAAGAATGGGCAAGGAACCTTAAATTGAATCTTTTTGAAAGAAGACAGAAGGAAGGCCAAGTGACACATGAAAACATCCTCAAGGTCACTAATTATCTGAAAGGTGCAAATCAAAATGACCACGTGGTACCATCTCATCAACAAATAAACAAAGAATAAGTGCTGGTGAGGATGCTGAGAAAAGGGAACCTTCTTACACTGCTCTGGTGGGAATGCAGACTGATGCAGTCACTGTGGAGAATAGTATGGAGTTTCCTCAAAATCTAAAAATGGAGCTCCTTTTGACCCAGTAATCCTACTCCTAGGAATATATCCCAAGA